GCTTTCTGGTGAGCCAATTAGATTCATTATTAGCACAAAATTAGAAAAATTCCGCCAATGACGAAAGAAGTCGATACATTTGTTCGGACCGGAGTATTACTAATCTTCAATGTAACAATCGAACTATCCTAAATTTATCGAAACGAGAACAGCATATTTTGGCCAAAAAGCCTTGACAGTACTAATTGTATATTCGAATGAGCGTTGAGAACAATAGAGAGTGTGCTAGGCAATTTGGCTTGGGGGATATTACAAGTCGAATATTGTGAGGTGAAGGGGGGTTACATAAGGACTGAGGAGTTGCAGGGGTTGAAGTCGCTACTATTCTGGCGATCTGCATACACTATGAGCTAATCATGATGTCGTGAATGGTGGTTTTAACCTCGTAAATGGTGTTGTGTGCTTTCACATGTCGATAAGACACACAAGCAGAATCGTTGTGGAGGGGAGATAAGGCCGTGGGGGGTTATAAACGATGTAGGGGTTGCAATCGATACAGCTTTAGCGATTTACATGCACTATGAGCTAGACGCGCCTAGTGGCTGAATGAAATCTCTATTTTCTGGTGTAGATTCACCACGGCTCTTACCCAAATTGCTATCGTTTACACGAATAACTTGTCGTTGAGCTCCACACACAGCTGTACGTTTAACTTCTTAACTTTCACACAAAGTCACATTGCACACACATAACGCATACTAGTACAAAGGAATACCAAAGGGCTAATTGTTAGCTCAACTGCTAGCATGATTCAGGACTCTCGCATGAGTCTTGCCTTACTAGCAGAAATGGCCCGTCGTTGATGCGACAATTTGCCCGTCGTTGATCGAGCAACAACGACCGGCAAATCCTCTACTATACTGTATCAGCTCCTCTCGTTATCATTCTATTAGTTGTGAATAAGGTATCTGCAAAGCAAGGCTAGTTACTTTAGTACTTCGAAGTACTGTACAGTACATCAATCAGGAAATACGAGGCCACATGCTCCTGTGCAATCCTATCACCTTCCAGAAATACTGCGTTTTGATTGACTGTGAATAATATTACTAGTACGTCAAGTACTTCAAGTATATTTTATGGCCAACCACACATTTCAATGTCGTCATTCTTCAATTTTCCACCTCACACACACTGCTCAGTGGGTCCGTGGGTATGTAAGTAATCGACCCCCTTGCGCATTCAGCGATCCGTTAGTACCACAAGCAAGGTTGATTCTATATCTAGGCACTACATAAATCACGACTATAGAAGATGTCTACAGAAGCAGCACGAATAACGATAATTGTACGTGGAACTTTGGCGGCTTGTGGCGTAGGCTGGGTCCGGCAAAGTTGCTGTGGGCGTCTGGTAGCATGCAGTACAGTTCACACGACTGCTCCAGATACGAGGCCTGAAGCAATCGTTCGAGGTTTAGTCCCATGTATGCGTATAGCTACTCGCAGCAATATACACTACATCCTAATTCGCGTCCGCTTCATGCCATCAATCGGTGGTTGGTCATAGGGCCGCGGATAAGTTTAAGGTATTTCGTGAGTTCCTTCATATGTGAGTTTAATAACCAATCACATTGCTAATAGTCAGACGTGTCCAGAAATTCTCATAACGCACTGTCTGCCGAAGTCGATCTCGCTGTGTAACGTACTCTATATTCAATTCAGCAAATCTCATGTGTCCTTCAGCAGAAACTATATGCGATTCAGCAATTCTTATATGGCTCTCAGCAATTCCTATGTGGTCCTCAGCAATTCTTATGTGGCAATATTTTATCCTCCAGTCCCCGAACTGCGTAGTTGGATGGGACTCGCCACCTATCTGCACAAGTACTCGGCGAATTTCGCCGACCTGGCATGCCCGATGACACGCTTACTTGACAAGGACGTTCCTTGGGTATGGTCCCAAGAGTGCCAAGTGGCCTTCGAGGCCGTCAAGGCGAGCCTCACCATGGCCCCAGCCAGTTCTGGCTCTGCCAAACTTTTGCAGCTTTCTTCGTGGTCTGCGACGCATCCATTCGCGCCATCGGTTGCTGCCTGATGCAGCGCGATGATTCGGGCCGGGATCGCCCGGTATCGTTCCAATCCCGCCAGCTCCACAAGTCCGAGAAGAACTATCCCGTTCATGACTTGGAGCTTCTGGCGATGTACTATGCCCTCAAGAAGTTTCGTGTCTACCTCCTGGGTTCGGAAGAATTCGTGGTCTTCACTGACCATGCATCGCTACGCACGGCTGTCCACTCACCGCATCTATCCCAGCGCATGCAGCGCTGGCTCTCCTTCTTTTCGGAATTCAACATGAAGGTTGAATACAAGCCTGGCCGCGACAACGTTGTCGCGGATGCTTTGTCCCGACTCCCCCCCGTCGGCAGACAACATGGAGCTCTCCTCCATCTCCACGGTCCACTCAGACCTCTTGGCTCGCATCCGAGCAGCTTACACAGCGGACCCCGCTTTGGATCCGATCATCGCCCACCTCCGTGATGGTGTAGCGATAGTCCGCGACGGTCTGTTGCTGTATTCCACCAATACGACCGATTGCTCTCGGATCGCAGTACCATGCGACTATTCTCTACGGCAGGACATCCTGCACGAGCTCCACGATGCCCCAAGCGGGGGCCACTTCGGCCGCGATCGAACGTACACTACCGTCGCTCGCCTCTTTTGGTGGCCGCGTTTGCATAAACACGTTGCTCGCTACGTCGCCTCCTGTGACGTTTGTCAATCAATCAAGGCCGTCGCGTCCACTCAAGCTCCACTCCAGAGCTTGGAAGTTCCCAGCGAACCCTGGGAGTCTATCAGTATGGACTTCATGGCCTTCGCCGCGACCGACGCGGCAACACTGGCATTTGGGTATGCGTTGACCGGGGGTCGAAATACCTTGTGGCAGTCGCCGTCTGGGCAAGCATCACAGCTGAGCGCTGTGCCGCGCTCTTCTTCGAGAATATATATTGTCGCTTCGGCCTCCCTACTTCCATCGTCTCCGATCGAGACCCACGTTTCACTTCCACTTTCTGGAAGTTTTTGTTTGCCCGAGTTGCCACTCGCCTCAACATGTCCTCGGCCGACCTCCCCGAGACTGACGGCCAGACCGAATGCGCTAACCGCGTTGTCGAAGATGTACTCCGCAGTTATGCTGCGTCGAAACCTCGCACATGGAGTTCCCTACTCCACCAAGTGGAATTTCCTTACAATTCCTCGGTCCACGCCTCCACGGGTTTTTCCCCGTTTTACGCAAGCCGTCTGCGTCACCCCCGTCTTCCGACTGACACCGGTGTGTCTACTTTGAGTGTGGGGGGAATCTCCCCTGGCCCACGCACGACAGCGTCGATCCAAGAATTTCTGCGCCTCTGAAGCTCCATTATGCGCCAACTTGGCGACAATATCGCCCATGCGTAACATCCGCAAGCCCATCACGCCAACAAGCACGGTCGCAAGAACACCAATACGTTATATGTTGGAGACTTAGTCTATCTCCACAAGTCGGCGGCGCCTCCGACAGTCCTGCGCAACGCAAAGCTCCAGGTCCCCAGGATTGGCCCCTTTCCTATCAAAGAAGTCTTCAGTCCAACTCGACCTGACAGATGCTGGCGAATACACCCGACGTTCTACGTCGGCAAGATCAAGCGCCACTTACACCGATTTAACGACGGCGAGGTCGCGCCGTCGGATGGGGAGCAGTGTCCAGCAGATGCTACACGCGCACCTCCAGCTCCACGACGCGACGAGTGACGTCACAAAGACGGTGAGGCTCCTCACGAACGCTCGTCAGCGTATCCCGCTGATCCTCCTGCAACTGCTGCAGGGCAAGTTCCACCTTCACGACCCGGCCATGAAGGTCTCCAACAGCAGACTTTGTTGCGCCAGCAACCACCTCCGCCCGCACACGCCACTCCTCCAAGTGTTGTGGCTTCGGGTGCTGTTTCAGCGTCGCTTCAGCCCGCGACAAGTGATGCAGGACCTCTGCCTCTGACCCCAATGTCGGAGGGGTCACCTGCATCAGGCGCTCAACAACTGCGAATCGTTCAAGCACGGTATCGTGCTCCAGTCGCATCACGCGATGCCCCTTCATCTTCCGCTCAACCGCAGACAAGCGAGCGACGACGGCGTCATGCTGCGCCGAGCGCGCCTCAAGAACAACCAAACACCTCAACACGTCGTCGGCGACGTCAGCGTTTGCATCTGCCGCACCACGAGTTCGTGGTGAAGTGCTCTCGTTGGGCCCCTGATGGTCGCGAGTATCTGATCGCGGCATCCCACGGCCCTAGACAATGGACATCAGAGCTGAATATAACAGCCAACTCACCTCTCCGTGCTCTCTGTCCCGACTTCGACAGTACTCGGAGATCTGATGGACGAAATCCCGTCCAAGCGGAGGCAGCTCGGCACGACACTTCGCTAAATTTGCTAAGTGTTCAACCAGCTTCTGCTGGTAGTGGAATGCGTTCGGCACTGGCACCTTCCGCACAAGGCGTGCCCACCAAAGCCCAAAGTATTCCTAAATAGTCTCCTCCTGCAGTGGAGTGACCCGCACATGGGCGATGATCTCACCACGGTACTTGCGCTCGCCGCAAAACTCAGTGAACTCTATCGCTGACGCACGCCACGGCCGCATGCCAATGAAGACATTGACGGCCACCTCGACGCCATCGAGGTATTGCCATAGCAACTCGCTGCGTGGAGCTCGACACTCCTCCATGCGCGCATACTCTTCCGCGCTTCGAGCCAACGCTCGCATTCCGGACACCACCCGGTTCATCGGATAGTCCGCGTCTCCCACATCTGGGAGAGTCCAATGCGTGCGGATGAAAACATCGTCCGCACTTACCGAGGTCACCACATTCATTTGACATGAATTGCATGACTGGCGCGCAGTCGCGCGCCAAGGAAACCAGCTCAGAGATAGCTAGTTCTCTCAGTTAACAATATACCTTGTTCGACACACCTTTCTCTGTGCGCCCATTACACTCCGCGAAAGCGCTTTTTGGCGGAATAGTAAGATGTGTATGTATGTGTGCGACCTAGTGAATATCACAGGGCTATGCGCAGTAGCGCTCGCGTACCAGCTACCCACTTTCATGGCAGCTTGCATCACCACACGTCTCAGCGACCACGGCAGCACTTCGGTCATACTTTAGAGCCAACCCCATCATAAATGAACCTAATCACTAACGATTACGACGAAGTTGAGGCCCCAACCCGCGCTCATTGCGCATGAGCGACCCTTCGATCCGTTCCGACGTTTCCCCGGACATGACAAAATGTTGGCTGGATAAAGTCACCGGATAATTCTCATCGTAACGTTCAGTGATTGTTCAGTAATTTTGCCCGAACAGGGCCTTGGAGCGAGCGAATTAACAATACAAATATAGGATTTTCGTCAAAAAAGCTGCTTTTCACTTTTTGCTTTTCGTTATGAAATCAAAATCAGGGTTTCGGGGTTTCACCGGCAAGTCGACGCGATAGGCACACCACCTTCGTGGTTGGTCTTGGGTTTCAATCGACATTTAGCTCGTTTCTTCTTCTGCGCTTCTTCTTCAAACACCTACCCTGCTGCTCCACCAAAATGTTACGGGGTTATTCCGTAACTGATCGATGGGTAGGTGCGACGCGAGCAAGCGTAGAATCCCAAATCCAGGTGTGGAGTTGGAGGCCAAATGTAAAGTCGAGTTAGTTTATCGTCTAGCTGAAGCTATTCATTCTATCTTTCTATCGTCCTCAAACTGTCTTCCGTGTTCTATCGTTGTACCAGTTTTAGCTTCAAGCGGCTCTCTGTGTACTGTCACACTAGCGTGGCCATTTCACCGAGCGAGGAGATTCCCGCAGATAGGCGTCACAAGGTAGTCTGTGGCGAGTTATGAGCACTTGCACCGGTCCTTGGATTCACAAGGTTGTGGGTACTGGATCGTTTTGGGCACAGAGTGGGTTGCCACGTCCTTCGGTTTGACCGGAGTTTCCACCAATCACATCTCCCTCGACATGGCTCGGTGGATTGAGTCTGATTGTCTTAAAATCGCACCGCGACAAGAAAAGATGTCAAAGAGCGCATTTTCTACTTTTCGTATAGTGAGTTGCGTAATAAATCGCACCAAAAGAGGTAAAAAAGTAGGAAACTGTACTTGGAACCAATTTTTCATTTGGCTAAAAATATCTACGAGGCCCTAACAACGCCACCCAAACCCTTCTTCCAGGGAGGGAATATATCTCAGTGGTAGAGCATCGGTTTCTTAGCTCAAAGGTCGTGGGTTCGATCCCCGGCTTCCCCAGATTATTTCCGCAAGGATTAATCCGTCCGTCCAAGCGTTGAGCGAAGTAAAATCCGAAGATTACACACCGCCCCTAGTCGAGCAGGCGCATTATAATTGGCGAAGCGGTTACACAACATGAGGTTCTAGTATAGGTTAAAAATGATAATCCAAACTCAATTCACCAACCTTTTTCCAAACACCTCACCCTTAACCCGCTCATAAAAACCATCCCATGTGAAATAAACTTCCCCTAAACCCCTTTTACGAGGGAGTCATTGGACAAAAAGCCTGTTGAAAAAGTCAAGTCGTGAGAATAGTTAGGGTGACTCTTTCGATGACAACTCCTGGAGCAGTCGTGTGAAGTTTACTCCACGCTATCAGACACCCATACAGTAGCAACTTTGCCGGCTTTTGGCGTAACTGAGTGTGTTGGCCTACACCCCAAGCCGCCAAAGTTACACATATATCGCGCCTGGGTCGTGTTTCGTGCTGCTTCTGTAAAACGTCTTCTATAGTCGAGATATACTGTATATACTGCCTAGAGATAGAATGAACCTTGCTTGCCGTACCAACGGATGGCTGAATGTGCAAGGGGATCACTTACATACCCGTGGACCAAGCGAGCAGTGTGTATGAGGTGGCAAATTGAAGAATGACGACATTGAAATGTGTGGTTGGCGGCCATAAGGGTTTCGGGGTTTTACTTAAAGTACTCTGGAGTAATATTTATGCAATCAAAACGCAGTATTTCTGGAAGATGATAGCAACTCCACCCGTGGGATTTATCGAATGAAAGTTATTCGGATAATGTACGAATACTGGGATTGTGAAAGCAGCCGCCGTCACGCGGCTTCAATACACTTGATCAGAGTGTGGTGAAAACTACCGCTGTCGCGGTGACAGATGAGAGGAGAGCGAATTGTGCGATTGTAGATGCTGACAGTAAAAGACTTTGATTTGCCCACGTTTGGCAGATGTTGCAAATATGACATGTATAACAAAAGGAGAGCAAGTCTGTGAAAGCCGTGTGGTGTCGCATGCGTCTGTATTCGTGTTAACGGGAATGCCCCCCCCCCGCAATTGCCAGTAGAATTGCCCTTGACTGGATTTATTTGGCCATGCGTTCATGCTTGACCATGTCAAATTATCGATTTTAACTTTGAGTTAGATTGCTTTATGGCCTGAACTTTAGTTTGCCCTCATTTTTGAATTTGACAATGATTTCCCGCACTCGTTTGCGAGTAAACAACCCGCGATTGCTAGTGTTTCATGTATTTAACAAAATATACGTTCGAAGCGTTTATCACACCAATGCAGATAGGAAACTGGAAGTTTCGACGGTCATTGTGACGGTCGTAGGGGTTAGACGCACAAACGTTACGAAGGTCCAGAGGTTCGGACTTCAGGACCGGATACTCTCGGCTTGGCCAAGAAGAACACAGCAAGAAAGGAGTAGATCTAATGTTAGGCAAATGTAAAAGTGAACTATCTAAAAGCTTGCTAAAGCTGACGACCTTTGGTGAAAGGCCCTGTAGAATAAAAGGCAAGACGGTCAAATTCGAAGGTAGTCGGCCCGTCGAATGATATACCTTTGCGATGGTAGTACCATGATGTGGTATAGTAGTACAAGCCCATGCTCCAGCTCCGTCACAAGTCCCGCAGCGAAGATTCGACCCTCTCGTCGAATTAGAAATGAATCGACGGAGTTGGGTAGGTGGTGTCGGGTAGGTGAAAAAGGGTAAAAGGTCCAGTTTACACGTAGCCGGTTGTCGTCGCCACAAAAGTAGTGATGCTGGTGCTGACAATCGACAAAGCCGACGATAGTGATGCAGATGGAGGAGCCGGAAGAAGGTCGTGTGAAAATAAGTGGTCATGGAGGCACGGTACGACGAGGCCACGACAATATGTACGACGGCACCAGGGACGAGGTGCTGGTAGTCTCAGACTGGACAGATAATTGGACGAAATATGTCGGATAACAAGGGTATAGTTGGTCAAAGTAGTCCGTCGGACAACAGTCTTCAGACGGGAACTGACTGTAGTCTCCATCCATCACTCTGTCAGGCAGCCAATCAGAGGCGACATGAGTTGACTTCGGCCAGTTGG